AATTCTTTTTTATTAATTTTTATTGGAGCATAGTTGCTTTACAATGTTGTGTTAGTTTCTGCTGTGCAGCAAAGTGAATCAGCTATACGTATATATATATACCCTCTTTTTTGGATTTCCTTCCCACTTAGGTCACCACAGAGCATTGAGTAGAGGACCCTGTGCTATACAGCATGTTCTCATTAGTTATCTATTTTATACATAGTATCAATAGTGTATATATGTCAATCCCAATCTCCCAATTCATCCCACACACCTCCCCCCCTTTCCCCTTTGTATCCATACATTTGTCCTCTGTGTCTTTGTCCTTTGCAAATAAGATCATATATGAATTAGTTTTCTGTTGCTGCAAACTTGGTGGCTTAAAACTACACACATTTTTTTATCTTTCACTTCTGGAAGCCAGAAGTGTGAAACAGGTTTCACTGGGCCAATACTAAGTCGTAGTCAGAGCCGTAGTCCTTCCAGAGGCTCTTGGGGAGAATCTGTTTCCTCACCTTTTCCAGCTTCTAGAGTTGCATTTGTTGCATGGCTTGGTCCCTTCTTCCATCTTCAAGGCCAACAGTGTAGCATCTTCTCTGCTCCATCTTCACATCATCTTCTCTTTTCTGTGTTAAATCTCCCTCTGCCTTCTTCTTTAAGGACACTTGTTATTACATTAGGGCCCACCTAAGTCATCCAGAATAATCTCAAGATCCTTACTTTAATCACATCTGCAAAGTCTCTTTTGCCACATAAATAACATTCACAGGTTCCAGGGATTAGGACCTCGGTGTTTTGGGGGCCCATTATTTAACCTACCAAAGGAGGCTTGGACCAGGGTAGAAGTGATGGAAATGGTGAGAAATGAGCAGATTCTGGGATTTGCTTTGAAGGCCAAACCAATTGGGTTGCTTTATAGATTGAATGTGGGATGTGAGAGAAAGAGAGGAATCAAGGAAAGCACCAAGGCTTTGGCCCGAGCAGTTGTAGGAAGAGAGTTTCCATTTACTAAAATGAGAAAGACTACAGGAAAAGAATCTTGGTGCCTGTAGGATGATGGTGGAGGGGATTGACTGATTGATTGATTGATGTCAGAGAGTTCAGGGGCTCGTGGACATATTATTTAGGTTTGAGATGCCTCATCCAAGTGGGCATGTTGAAGAGACTGCTGGATGTATGAGTCTGAAGTTCAGGAGAGGAGTCTACGCTGGAGATATAAATTTGGGAGCCTTCCATGTGTCTTTAAAGCTTTGAAATTGAATGAAATCATTAAAGGTGCAAGTGTAGATAGAAAAGAAAAGAGCTCCAAGGACTGAGCCTGGGGGACTCCAGTCATTCGAGATCGGGGAGATGAGAAGGAACAGCACAGGGAGATCACAAAAGAGCAGCCAGCTAGGTAGAAGGACAACCAGGAGAGGGTGGATCTTGGAGGCCACATGAAGACAGGAGACAAGGATAGGGGTGGGGGTGGGCAGGGCAGCTAAGTTCCCGGAGGGAGATCGGTACCTGTGGGATGAGGGCACACCTCACCAAATCTAGCACCTGGCACCTCCTAGCACCCCAAAACACACACACACAAACACCTTCTGGCATGAAAATCAAGCCCATGTCCTCAGGTCTGGCCAAAAGAGCAGAAAAGGTCTGCATTCTCTGGTCCAAACCCCTGCAGAGATGCCACTTGGATGTGGTAAAGCTGTGTGTCTTGTCTGGTAGACCCATCTCCTTCACCCCATCTGTGATTCCCAGAGGGCAAATCTGTCACCTGTTTCTGGAAGAGGAATTCCATCTCAAGCATCAAGGTCTCCATCTGCTTGCCACCCATTGAGCAGCCTGCATTGTTATTGATTGGGTGCTCAGATCATTAGTGCCTGAGTAGAAAGCAGCAGCTGCACTCATGTCACAGGTAGGGCTGTTCCCCGTGAGGCCTGACTGCCATTCTGAACCGTTGTTTTAATGCTTTAAACTAGAATGCTCACTATATATATATATATATATATATATATATGCGCTTTATTTATTTTTATTTTTGGCTGCGTTGGGTCTTTGTTGCTGCGTGCAGGCTTTCTCTAGTTGCGGTGAGCGGGGGCCACTCTTCGTTGTGGTGCGTGGGCTTCTCATTGCAGTGGCTTCTCTTGTTGCGGAGCATGGGCTCTAGGTGCATGGGCTTCAGTAGTTGTGGCTCGTGGGCTCAGTAGTTGTGACTCACGGGCTGTAGAGCTCAGGCTCAGTAATTGTGGCACACGGGCTCAGTTGCTCCACGGCGTGTGGGATCTTCCTGAACCAGGGCTCGAACCCGTGTCGCCGGCATTAGCAGGCGGACTCTTAACCTCTGCACCGCCAGGGAAGTCCTAGAATGCTCACTTTTAAATAGCCCTGTTATTTCACGCATCATACATGAAACATCCATCAGATCCTCAGAATCAAATTGAATTCAAATCCTATGTTATACAATCAACACCAGATATCTTGAAACACCTACCTACATAGCCAGGCAGTTGAGGAATCTCCATGTATACCAGCTTGGATGGATTCTCTTCTCTTCCCTTCCTTTCCCCTCCCCTTCCCTTTCCGTCTCTTCTCTTTTCTCCTCCCTTCTCTTTTCTATCTCTTTCTCTACCCTAATAATTCCTCTCAAGTTTTAATTCAGTACTTAGATCACTGGTTCTCAAACTTGGTTGCATATTGGAATTAAAACCTAGAGAATTTAAAAAAAAAAAAAAACTAATGCCTGGGCCCCATTCCCAGAGATTCTGATTTAGTTGATCTTGGGTGTTAGCTGGGCTTTGAGGGTTTTTTAAGGTCCTCAGGTGATTCTAATGTGCAGCCAAATTTGAGAACCACCGTCTTCAATTACCTTCTAAGTAGTGAGTCCCAGTGCAATATTTTAAATGCTATGGCAGGAGAGGCTGGATCTACCTCCAACTCCCTGCCCTGCCTCTCCCTAGCATTCCTGGTTTATGGGATAAAGACTTGGGGCCAGTTTATCAGATCTGAACATCACCAGTAGATGCAGTATGTTGTGTAATGCTCTGTATCTTCCAAATAGCATGATCCAATGTGGGCTCAGATATTGTACACCCAGCTTTTAATTTCTCTCCACAACTTCCCTCCTATGGCACCTTCAGCCAATTTTTAATTGCAGCTCTAGCTCCAGTTGTAAGCGATGGGAGAAATAGGGTGAAGGTGGATGGAAATAGCCAAGGGCACACAGGTGCACACAGTGCAGGCACACACACGCATAATCGGTGAATCAGACTTAGAAGTGGAATTCTGCTGGTACAGAAATCCTCTGATAGAGAAGAAGCGGCTGTAGTGCTCTATAATGTCTGTTTTTGTGGCACTCGGTTGGAGAATTATGAGAAAAAACCTGGTTTTTTTGCCCCAAAGCAGGTCTTGCCCAATGAGCTGCATGCTCGGAAGAAAACTGCCTGTCCCCTTCTCCCTCCATCTGGGATCCTTAATTGGCAAGATCTAAACCGTAATGTGCCCAGGCTAGATCCAAGTCTATTAAATGCCATAACTCTCAGGCTCTTTGAAAAGAAAAATTCCACGGCCTTCAAGAAAGCAGCTTGGTAATAAGTCTCAAGAACTTGAAATATGTCCAGTTCATATCCTTACATCCAATGATTTTACTTCCTATCCTAAGAAAATAATCAAAGATGTGGGAAAAGGTTTATGTATACAGATCTTCAACGAAGTGTTATTATAACTGCAAAAATCAGAAGTAACTGTACACTGTCTATAACACAAATTCCATTTAATATATCATGCTATATCACAGTATAGTCAAGCAATGAAATATACAGATTGTCAAAACACATTTTCAATTTTTTTTTTTTGGCTGAGTTGGGTTTTTGTTGCTGCACGCAGGCTTTCTTTGGTTGCAGCGAGCAGGTGCTACTCTTTGTTGAGGTGTGCAGGCTTCTCATTGCAGTGGTTTCTCTTGTTGCAGAGCACGGGCCCTAGGCGCGTGGTCTTCAGTAGTTGTGGCGCACGGGCTTAGTTGTTCTGCGGCATGTGGGATCTTCCCGGACCAGGGATCAAACCTGGGTCCCCTGCATTGGCAGGCGGATTCTTAACCACTGTGCCACCAGGGAAGTCCTCAAATACTTATAACCATATGAAAAAATGCTCACAATATAATGCTAAAAGAAAATAAAATGTGTAGGTAAAATGATTAATTTTGCAGTTCAGTCCAGTTGTGGATATACACATCGATTTGTAGAGAAAAGCACCCTGAACATAAATACTAACTTGTTAACAGTGGTTCTCTGGATTGTGTGGTGATGATTGATTTCTTATATATATATTTTTCTTTTTCTGAGTTTCCCAAGCTTGTATCTATAATCAGGAAAAAATATATTTTTTAAATGAAAAGGTTTCATTTCTCACGATGGGAGCCAGCTTCTGTCGGAGGCTGACTTCAGAAGTGACCCCATAGTTATCCTCCTTATCACTGCCTGTGTGCACACTGATGCTTTCCAAGCCCTTCCCTGCTTTTCGCTGCCCTGAGTCCCACAGCATCTTTGACATGGGTGAGCCAGGGGAGCATTCCAGCCCCTCTCAGGAGACCAGCCAGGGGCTGGGGTATGCTTGCTGGGCAACCAAAGAGGGTACTTACCAGGTAAGGACCATGTGTCATGCTGCTCTTCAGCGTTATGAGCTCAGCGGGAGCCTCAGGAATTGGAGACATCTTGCCTAGACACGAGAAGCGCACTTATTAATTAATTCAGTCTAGAGGTGTTCATTAAGGGTGCCAGGTGAAGTTCCCACTCATTCCACGAACACTGTTACAGGTTGTAAGTTGAAGGAGCTGACTGATGGGGCTGAGAAGGCAAGTTTGGGACTAAGGCTTGGGGTTCTGAGAGAAGATAGCTCCACCTTGCTAGGTAGTTGCTTGGTAGGGGTTGGTAGTCAAAGTCTCACCAAAGGGCACTTCCTCTCTCTCTCTCTCTCTCTCTCTCTCTCTCTCTCTCTCTCTCCCTCCCTCTCTCCCTCCCCCCTCACCGTTTCTTCAGATGGAGGTGATTGTCGGGGACTTTGGGATCGTGGTGGTCCCCCGGGACGCAGCCGACACAGACCGAATCATGAATCACTCCTCAATACTCCGCAAATACAAAGTGAGTCCCCCATTCTCCCTGCTGGTATAGTAATGTGATGTGGCCCTTCTCTGAGAAGCCTGCGGGCTGGAGAAGTGAGGATACAAAAGGAGTTTAGTGTGAGAGACTGGCTACCTACTGTCTCTGCTTTGTCCCCAGAACAACATCATGGTGGTAAAGGATGACATCAACCATCCCATGTCTGTCGTCAGCTCAACCAAGAGCAGGTACGTTTGACAAACGACCAGAGAGACCTTGGTCAGACTGGCTTACAAGTTCCCATACAACTCTCCTCAGTCCAGGCTGACCGTTAGGTTGGCTGACACCTGCTGCCCCAGTATGCAGCCTTCTTTTTAGAACTCATTTATTTGTCCCCAGTCATTGACTTTTAAAAGGGCGACAGGCCATTTATTAGTTTTAGCTGGTTTGAAGGGGGAAAAGGAGGTTTTTAGTTTGGACTCTAGTTTGAGGTACGCATGGAATTTGTAAGTGTTTAGGTTAAGCTGCCATAACAAAAAGATCCCCAATAGTTAGAGTTTTAAATAAGAGAAATGTTTATATCCCTCTAACTGAAGTCAGAAGAAACTGAATCTCTGTTCTTTTCAATGTGAAGCTTCCCTCTCAGGGTCCACAGCTGCTACAGTGACTGTTCTCAGCCAGTGGGAAAGGGCAAGGGGCTTTGTCCTTAGGAAGGTGACCCGAAGTTGCACATATCCCTTCCCCTTCATCCCCCTGGCTCAGCTTCAGTCATGTGGCCATGCCTAGCCTCCAGGGAGGCTGGGAGTAGACTTTGTAACTTGGCAGCTCTGTGTCCAACTAAATCTTGGGAGGTTGTAGCACTAAGCAGAAGAAAGAATGGATACTAGGGCCAGTTAACAGTCTTCACCACAACCCCCAAGTGGGAATGTCCAGTAGAATAATAAGATGTGTGGAATATAGAGGTCTGGAAGTGTAATAAAACTGAAAGCCATGAGTACCTAAGTGTAAATTAAAGTTCAGGGCTGTGGCTACGCTCACGGGGAGAGTCAGCAAGAAGAGAAGAAGGCTATGGGGAATACTTAAAACACATTAACATTTAAAAGAAGGCTGAGGGGGCTTCCCTGGTGGCACAGTGGTTGAGAGGCCGCTTGCCCATGCAGGGGACACGGGTTCGTGCCCTGGTCCGGGAGGATCCCACATGCCGCGGAGGGGCAGGGCCCGTGAGCCATGGCCGCTGAGCCTGCGCTCCGCAGCAGGAGAGGCCCGCGTACCGCAAAAAAAAAAAAAAAAAAAAAAAAGGCTGAGGAGTAAATTAGAAGTTTGGGATTAAGATATACACACTACTATGTATAAAATAGATAACCAACAAGGATCTACTGTATAGCACAGGGAACTATACTAAATATTTTGTAATAGCCTACAAAGGAAAAGAACCTGAAAAAGAATAGATAGATAGATATATGTATGACTGAATCACTTCACTCTACACCTGAAGCTAACACAACATTGTAAATCAACTCTACTCCAATTTTTAAAAAGTAATAAAAAAAATAAAAGAGACGAAGGAGCAGTCAGAAACCACCAGCATTGGTGGCCCTGGAACAAAGGCAGCAGATGGCACAAAGATGGAGAGCCCTGTCAGTTGTCATCTGTGTCGCATGTTTCAGAGAAATCAAATGAGCCCAGGATTTTAAAAGGTCCGCTGGACTTCTTCCCTGGAAGGTGATTATGTAGACACTTGAAATAGTAGCATCAACTATGAGGTGAGAGCAGAAACCCAGTGACAACAACCAGTGAGGGGAAAGGGGAAGGCTGTGGTTCCAGCCACGGCTGCACAACAGAATTACCGTGAGAACTCACACAGCACAGATTCCCGTGTCCCATTGAGTCCCACCGAATCAGAATTTCTGGGTGTTGGGCCTGGCTATCTGCTTCCTGGGTGATTCTCGTGAAGCTGGGATTGGCATTTGGAAACCACGGTTATAGACCACTTTTTCAAGAAGGCTCCCTGTAAACCGTGCAGGGAGGCACTTGGGAACCTAGCTTGCTGGAAGGTCAGGACACTATGCATTGAAAAGGCACTGAGCCAGCCTCTGGGGAGATCTCGCAACGCAGAGCACAGATGCCTTTTAGAATCTAGATATGCGGAGGAGTATATGAGTTCTTACAAATAGCTCCTTGGGGCCCGACATTCCCAAGACCATCATGCGCATAGAAAATGGGGAGCAGCCAGACCAAGTCTGGAGCAAAACCGTGCGGAAACCAGACCCCTTCTGTATTTGGTAGTCCACCCACCCCTCAGGGCTTGTGAGAAGGGCCTCAGAGAAGGGCAACTTCTTCTCTATCAGGGCTTCCATAGGAAGGAAAAGAAGGGGTCAATCATAAGGTTCATTTTCATGAGACCATGGTGTAGAGAAACACAAAGAAATGAAATAAGAATAGCTAACACTTGCATTGAAATGCCTCCTGTGTGCTTGGGCTTTTCTAAGTGCTTTGTGTAATGACTCATTTAATCATTTTAATAACTGAGATCGGCCCAGATACTACCCCCATTTTATAAACGAGAAAATGGAAGAATAGATGGGCTTAAACAACTTGCCCAAGGTTCCTCAGTTAGGAAGTAGCAGAGTTAGGATGGGGGAGGAATTATGGGGGCAGGAGGGCTTTTCCTGATAGGGATGCCGTGTATTTAGCCTAAGCAAAGACTGGTAATGGGGTGTTGGGTAAACCCTTTCCCCGAAAGGGAATGGGCTGGCCTGTCCTCTGGCCTTGCTTCAGGAAAGGATGTCATCTGATCACTGTCTCTTCTCATCCAGGTTGGCCCTGCAGCATGGGGACGGCCATGTCGTGGATTACCTGTCCCAGCCGGTCATCGACTACATTCTTAAGAGCCAGCTGTACATCAACACCTCGGGCTAGCAGCCCCAGGGCCCTCTGCTCCAGTCGTCCCTCGTCCTCCACCAACACACTGGCCCCTGCAGCCTCTGTCCGTCCCATTTCTCTCCTGCCTCTCTGTTCCTCCATCTCATCTTGACTGTTGTCCCCACTTGCTGACTCAACCCTCCCACAGTGTGGAGGACCTGCAGAGAACCACGGCATACCCCACTCCGCAGTCATCTTCGGACAAACTTTCCTCTAGTCTCCGGGTTGGGGGTGGGTGAGGGGGTAGGGATAGGGGAAGTGCGGTCCTCGGAGATGCGCGGGTGTCCGTCTCCCAGCATGCTCTGGGGAGGTGGCTCCGGGCCTCGCCTTCCCAGCATGCCCTTTACCACAAAGGGCTATTTTTCTTTCTTTCTCTCTTTTCTTTCGTTTTTTTATGTTTTGTGTCGTTGTTGTTCACTCCTCAGAGAACTTGGATCCAATCAGTGTCCGTGGTTCTTTATGTTTGTAGTCTTGTTGCATTCCTGTGGTATTCCTTCCATTTTGATAGGATACCGCAGCCAGCCTCAGCTCTCAGAAGGTGCGTGTGGGCTACACCCGGTGAACGGGGCCGAGCCACCTCCACTTTCCCAACACCCTCACCCACCTATCCGCTTTCTCCCCTCTGCTGCCCACACACACCGCAGTCTGGGGTCGAGATTGAGACATTCATGTTCTGAAACCTGGGATGCAAGTCTGGGAATAGTAGGGTTTCTCAGAAGGATTTCAGCCCATTTCCCTAGTTTCAGAAGACCACGTTCCTGTTGGGCCTGTGATCACACAGAGCCAGTCCCTTCTCCTTTCTTGGTGGCATCTGTGCAGTTACTTATTTGGGCTGTAACTTGTGACAGAATGTGGGTTGTTCTCTGCCAGCCCAGGCATTACCAAGGGACCTTCAGATCACCATCAAAGCCCTTGGAGGCCATACTTAGCCGCATTCTTGCATTTGAGAAGAATTAGTACGCAAGGCCAAATCCTAATAATGCAGTCATTTCTGAAATAAAATATGCTAGGAATTCACTCAACCATAGAGATCTTTGCTAACTGGAATTACTTATTGCCTGTTTGGCTGGGAAATGCTTCTGTCATAATGTAAGTCCAGGATGACCTAGGAGAAAGCAGTCAGTTTCCCTGATGGGAACCAGTGATTCTCACCCACTCTAGCTTGGTAACACAGGCGGCGCCTGAGGTTAGTTACTTTTTGAGAAGCAGAGCCTCAGCCTTGTTCCTGGGTTAGGATTACATCTTGTGCTGAGCCCAGCAGCCACAGTCATCGCCTCCTGGTGAGCGTGGGCTCACAGAACAGAGATCTCGGGGGAGTGTCAAGAGCCGCTAAAGTGTTTCAGCCCTTTTCTCCCTAATTTCCCACCTTCCTCTGCTGCCCTGGAAATAGTTTTGACAGACTCTGTTCTAGTTGTTCAGGCCTCGTTCACGACCTGCTTAAAAACCAAAAGGAAATTACCGTCTTATACTCTGTGTCCCTCATCTAGTCTCTGGCTCTTGGGTTTTTGGTTCTTTGAGGAATGGTCCCTGAACGGTAGGATGATTTTTTCAAAATCTAGTACCAACCCTGGCCCAGAAGGGGCCAGGTAGGATCTGACACCAGAAACAATGTTCTTCACCACACATTTCACATCTGTAACATCCTTCAATAGCCTCCAGGGAAAGAAACTAAATTCAACAGAAGAATAGCAAGGTGGGGTGGGGGAGGTGCTGTTCCTCTTGCATTATGGAAATAACCTCCAAAGGACTGAAGTGAGATCCTATTCTTGGGTCTCAGTGTTTGGCTAAGGATCATGGAATCATAAACTGGAAAGATCTTTAGAGATTTGTTGATCCAACCTTTCCTTTAAAGGATGAGGGAGCAGAGATCCACTGGATTAAATGGCTGGTCCAAGGTCACACAGCAAGTGTAGAGTCTGGCAAAAGGCTAACGTCTCCCTGACCCCTTAGGTCATCACACCACATGGTCCCTGATCCTCTGGTTCCCCATGATACTGACCAGGTAAGATGTAGTTTTCAGCCTTTACCTGGCGTCTTTCTCTTAAGTTATGTTTGTCTCAGGTGCTCCCTGTATATGGCCTTGTGTTTGCTAGTCCTGGGGGAGGGTGTGATGGTGAGGAAGGCTGTAGCTAGGTTTCCCTTAGAAACCGATAGCTGGAGATGGCAACGGCTTGGAGGAAATCTGAATCCAAGAAAGGATTGCTTTGTGGAAGACAAAGACCCAGAAAGTGCTCAAGATTGCATTCGTGCTGGAGAGAGAGTGACAGAAGTATCTTTGTCTAGGCAAGACAGCTGCAAGCCAGGAAACGAAACAAAGGAAATCAGGGAGCTGGATTCCCTGGGGGAACACGCATTTTCAAGGATATGGAGTTTATGGATAGAGTTTATTCTGAAGATCCACGTGAGCAGATCTGAGAAAGACCAGCTGTCTTTTGTCTCTTTGGCCCACTTTTCCTTTGCTGGGCTCTGTGGTCAAGCCCCATTTAGTCCACGACCCATGAGAGGAAACAGGGCTGGCTCTCGGCATTCAGTGGGGGGGGGGGGGGGGGGGGGGGGGGGGGGGGAGGCAGAAGGCATGCTTGTAGGGAGAGTGAGATGAGCTGAAGAAAAGAATGGGAGCATAGAATAGATTTCTAGGAATGAAATGGGGCAGATTCTATCTTGATGAATCATAAGGATCATGTTAAAATAGCTTTTCTTTAATACCAGGAAAAGTGACTCCCCTTTTGGATGGAATTGTCCATTTCCTGCCCTGCCCCATTCTTCACTTGCTAGGGGGAGGTCAGAGCTCCTCTCTCAGTCCAGGCAGGACACGATGACTGTGACCCAGCCAAGGCCAACACCAGAGAGATGATTCAGAGTTTGAAGTAGTGCCCCAGGTGCCAACAGGATGACCTCGAGACCCCAACTTCCACTCGGGTCCTGCTCCTTCCCAAAAAGGCCAACCCAAAGGCTCAGAGATCGTGAGAAGGGCACGGGCTAGAAAGATTGTGTCAAGAGGAGTCTGGAGCCTCATTTCCTGCCTACCAATAAAAATGTCCCTCCCACTTCTATGAAAGTGGCTGATATGTAAGAACAGGCAGGAGGGAAACCCTTTGTGTCAATGACTCTGTTCTCAAGGAATGGCCCTTTGGGGGCAGGGGTCTGTGCTGCTAGCTGGTACCTCATTTGCCACCCCCCTTCCCTAACCCCAGGCAGCCTCTGGGGCCATCTTGCTTTCACTTTCCTTGAATGTACATGGGAACAGGGGAGGAAAGTCTCTTACTGAAGTGCCTGAAACCCAGAACTAGAGCTTCTAGAGACGCTGTTCTTCCTGTCCCGGCTTGGCCAACCTTCCCCCAACGTTCCCTAGTCTCATGCTTCAGCTTCTCAGAAAGAATAAAAGAACATGATGTTGTAATTAAATTGAAAGCAAGACTCCATAACCAAACTGCAGCAAAAGGCAGAGAATTACAGGGAGAAATGACTTGTATTTTAATAGCCCAAATCTATTCCCCCAAACAGACTCTCTCTCTCTCTCTCTCTCTCTCTAGAGGACGAAGAGAGAGAAGCATGTTATATTTTATTCATCAAAAGAGTAATGCAAAAATAAATCAGTAGAATATGAAAAGCTCAGGATCTCTCCCAAGGCTACGGCAGGAAAGCAGGCAGGTGAGATGGGAAGGATGGAAACAGGGATCGATTTTGTAGTTCATCCAATTTGGACACCTTAGGAATAGCATCGTGGTAAAGATGATGAATGTGCTCTGTCCACTTCATTTGGTCTGCGCCTTCCTATAGCTGCCCAGTAAACGCGATTCTTCACGTGGTTTCTTTGTTGTGTATGTTTGGAATGTCCTATTAGCCTGTAACAGTCAGTTAGGAATGAGTTACACTCTTTCCCTCCGCCTTCAGTCTAGGTCTGGCGCCCAGACCTCAGCTTGATCCAAGCAGTCTCAAGGATTGGCATGGGGAGGGGGAAGCTTTTTTGAATCACTTTTTGGTCCCTGAATCTGCCATTTTGAGAATAAGATTTGCTTTGGAAATCAACACATTAATAAAAACTACATTCAAGTTGCAACACCATCTCACAGTGAAATATTTTGAGTAAAATTTTGTTGCTAGAATAGTCACAGACAAAAGTTTTATCGGCAAAATGTTTCAATTACGTTAATAAATAAGATGATGCTACTAGTCTCGTGTCTTGGCCTAGAATCTTCTCTGTGATTTGCAGAATTAACCACTTTTTCTTCACAGTCTTACTTGACAGAAGCCAACAGTTGTTAAGCACGCTCTTAAGAGCAGGAGATTCTCTGGCTGGTTTGGCTGATGCAGCACGTGTAATATGAAAGTATATACAACCACACCCATAAGCAGGGAAGAATAATTAGCAAATTTGTCAATTGTGCCTAAGTTTTCTCAGTTTTTTTAAAAAATCAAATCTTAGGTTCTACCTAATCTGCATAGTCTGGTCTTGGTTAGCTTTGGATTCTTAATGAAATTAGTGCTTTGTGACTTAAAAATGTATTTGTGAAAATTAAAAACTTGGATAACTTGCTTCTTGACATAAAAGATCTCAAGTAAGACAGAAATTGTTAAACTCACAATTGGTTTTGTTTGGTAAAGTAAACAAGCAAAAACCGAATAAGTTAATTGTTCAATCCTGCTGTGGCTGTTAGTTTGTATTTAATTTTTAGTCGTGATGTACATTATGCATGGGTTTAGGTGTAAATAGTGATAGTCCTTAGCTAATATCACTCATGATTCAGTAGGTCAAATAACAATTCCCCATTCGGCCACCTCATTTAAGGCTTAGCTACTTGTTTGTCAGATGAGTTGTGTGAGGTTTTTAAAAATTATTTTGGTTCTTAGTATCTTTTTCTGTTTAAGACTGAGATTAGTTAGCTTTGTGTGTATCCATGTGGGTTTGTTGGCATATCACGATGGTGCTTGATATGCCTTATAAATTGATGGCTTGTATTTATGTTTGCTATTTTACTCGCAAAGCTGAACACTTTTTTCCTTCTCTCCTGAGACTACGTAATGATGTGCTCTTGTTTAAAACTGGGTATAAACACTGGTTTATTTTGCTTACTTATACTAACTTATAAAATATATACACTACCTATGAATTAACATACATGTACATAGCACATTTTTTCCCTTATGACCCATAAGTAAGCTTCAGATCTTGGAATTTCCTAGAAAGTTCCATGTAGCCCATAGTATAAGGAAAGCAGAGAGAGAGAAAAAAAAATCTAATCTCTGCTTTCCAGGTGGGAAAATTGAACCACAGCAAGAATCCACAACATTCCCATGACCATATAAAACATTAAAAAAAGAAAGAGAAACATATTCCTGGTCCTTGAGACTTGGTCCAAACATTGGACATTACTGAGTATCATCTCACCCTTTTGTCCAGCCTCCTAAGAGTACTGAAAAAAAGGAATCACATCCTGGGATCAGATCAGAAATACATCTGCTAAAGAAATTAAAGATGATACAAACAGATGGAGAGAAATACCATGTTCTTGGATTGGAAGAATCAACAGTGTGAAAATGACTATACTACCCAAAGCAATCTACAGATTCAATGCAATCCCTATCAAACCACCAATGGCATTTTTCACAGAACTAGAACAAAAAATTGCACAATTTGTATGGAAACGCAAAAGACCCAGAATAGCCAAAGCAATCTTAAGAAAAGTGGAGCTGGAGGAATCAGGCTTCAGACTATACTACAAAGCTACAGTAATCAAGACAGTATGGTACTGGCACAAAAGCAGAAATATAGGAACAGGATAGAAGGCCCAGAGATAAACCCATACACATATTGTCACCTTATCTTTGATAAAGATGGCAAGAGTATACAATGGAGAAAAGACAGTCTCTTCAATAATTGGTGCTGGGAAAACTGGAGAGCTACATGTAAAAGAATGAAATTAGAACACTTCCTAACACCATACACAAAAACAAACTCAAAATGGATTAAAGGCCTAAATATAAGGCCAGACACTATAAAACTCTTAGAGGAAAACGTAGGAAGAGCACTCTTTGACATAAATCACAGCAAGATCCTTTTTGACCCACCTCCTAGAGAAATGGAAGTAAAACAAAAACTAACAAATGCGACCTAATGAAAGTTAAAACCTTTTGCACAGCAAAGGAAACCATAAACAAGATGAAAAGACAACACTCAGAATGGGAGAAAATATTTGCAAATGAAGCAACTGACAAAGGATTAATCTCCAAATTATACAAGCAGCTTGTTCAGCTCAATATCAAAAAAACAAGCAACCCAATCCAAAAATGAGCAGAAGACCTAAATAGACATTTCTCCAAAGAAGATATAGATTGCTAACAAACACATGAAAAGATGCTCAACATCACTAATCATTAGAGAAATGCAAATCAAAACTACAATGAGGCATCACCTCACATCAGTCAGAATAGCCATCATCAAAAAATCAACAAACAAAATGAATGCTGGAGAGGGTGTGGAGAAAAGGGAACCCCCTTGCACTGTTGGTAGGAATGTAAATTGATACAACCACTATGGAGAACAGTATGGAATTTCCTTAAAAAACTACAAATAGAACTACCATATGACCCAGCAATCCCACTACTGGGCATATACGCTGAGAAAACCATAATTCAAAAAGGGACATGTACCACAATGTTCATTGCAGCATTATTTACAATAGCCAGGACGTGGAAGCAACCTAAGTGTCCATCGACAGATGAATGGATAAAGAAGATGTGGCACATATATACAATGGAGTATTACTTAGCCATAAAAAGAAACGAAATTGAGTTATTTGTAGCAAGGTGGATGGACCTAGAGACTGTCATACAGAGTGAAGTAAGTCAGAAAGAGAAAAACAAATACCGTATGCTAACACATATGTGTGGAATCTAAAAAAATAAAAAGGGTTCTGATGAACCTAGGGGCAGGACAGGAATAAAGACATAGACAGAGAATGGACTTGAGGACATGGGGAGGGGGATGGGTAAGCTGGGTGAAGTGAGAGAGTAACACTGACATATATACACTACCAAACGTAAAATAGATAGCTAGTGGGAAACAGCTGCATAGCACAGGGAGATCAGCTCTGTGCTTTGCGACCACGTAGAGGTGAGGGATAAGGAGGGTGGCAGGGAGATGCAAGAGGGAGGGGTTATGGGATATACGTATGCACATAGCTGGTTCACTTTGTTATATACAGCAGAAACTAACACACCATTGTAAAGAAATTATACTCCAATAAAGGTGTTAAGAAAAAATGAAAGAAATACATCTGCTAAGATGTTACAGTCTATGGGCAGTTTCATTTCTACCCATCTCTCCAAACAGAGATCCCCATGAGCCAAAGTAGATGACGATATGTGTGATAGCTTACCAGTGGCACAGTTAATCAGGCAACTCTCAGAGGAGAAGCACAAGAGAGTTGCCACTACAAATGATAAACACTGATAGAAATAGGAAGGAAAGTACCCTTAACTTGGCAGGTTCAGCTCAGGACTGGTAACAGAGTCTAAGTCCTGGGT